CCATCCACCCATCACATCGCCCTGTGTTTTTTCCCTATCAGGATGAGCATTCCGTCCGCGACATCCCCAGCGGGTCCAAATCCGCATATCATGTTGCCTAAATAAATCAAGACCCTCTTATCCCACCTCCGTGATCTCAATCGCCTGCATCTCCTTAGTCCTCCCTCCTAATCCTTATTTGTCGACAAACCATGCCGTGATGCTATCTGTCACAACGCAACGCGCTTCTGAATTCAACATAACATCATGATGACACTCGGACTCCAAACTGATTTGGCATCCTTGCCGTGTACATCCATCTCACCAGAACTCGCACCACCGCTCTAGCCCGCCCGTCAGCCGTCAACGTTCTTCCCCCGGGTGGCGCGACGGGTTGCTATTCGGGTTTCTCCGTGTGTTCCTGCCCGCTCTCCCGGCGCGTTCCGTCCCGCCTCACGCGACTGTTCGCTCGTGTTGCTATCGTTCCTCACCCCTTCCTCACCTCAGGTGTCCCTTTCCCGTGTACAAGAGGCAAATCGGTTGCTTCGTGTTAACTGCAACTGTTCTCCGTTTGTCGCAAATCTCCTTGTGTTGCTTCCGTGCAGCATTGGACATCCTTGTCCTTTGCGGGCCGTTGCCGTCTTGAATGCTCTGTGTCATTGTCGATTCACCTCCACCACTGAATTATTCTGCAGTGCCATTCACGATAACCTGACTATGCTGAACATTCCAATGCTGCCAGAAGGTTTCCTTTCCACCCGTGATTAGAATTTGGACGCTATTCTGGTTTTAGCTCTGGCCGCATCGCCCCACCACTAACAAAATCTGGCAGTGTCCATTCTTGATCCCCTGGGACCCCATGCCGATCATATTTTCAATGCGGTTGCTAGACAGGTTTCCTTTCCAGCTAATCTAAGCTCCACATTTGGGGTGGCCGCAGTTGGGGGCGTCTGCGATACACCCACCACTGAATTATTCTGGCAAGGGCCCATTCACTGATACCTGGGACTTACATGCTGAAACATTGATCTCCAATGCGTGCCAGATAGGTTCGCATTTCCAGCTAACTAGCTCAATTTTGGGGTACTCCGGTTTTTAGCCTGGCGATGCGCACCACCACTAAGAAACATTCTGGCAGTGTCCCATTCCTGACACCTGGACCTGCCGCAACATCTTTCACATAGGTTTCATGGGGTTTGTCCTTTCCCAGCTAATCTAGCTCAATTTTGGGTGCCTTTCAAATGACCACTGACCACACCCACCTAGCGGCTACCTGCAGACTTCACATTTCCTTACAGTGGGTATGTACACGATATCATTGCTAAAATCAGAAAATTGGTTTCCTTTCCAGCTTAGGCCTACGCCCGCTGGGCTCCCGGTCGATCTGAAATCACATATAGTTTATGTATACACGCATATATACTACTACATGCACGTTGTTTATGTTTTATAACAGCATTGACGTCATATGCGCACATGCGCAGTTTTAACGGTTGGCCAGTCAAGCAGATGCGTGATATTGTTCGATACAAGCACACGCACGCACGCACGCACCGTGTACGTTCAACACACTACAACGCAGCACCGCCACTGCCACGCACGTGTTACACGTCAACACTGCCACACGCACACACTCATTGAACGCCACCGTGTACGTGCACACGCACGCATACACGCACGTGTACGTGCACACGCACGCATGCACGCACGTGTACGTGCACGTGCACACGCACGCACGCACGCACGCACGCACGCACGTCTACGTGCACATACATGCACGCACGCACGTACGTGTACCTGCACACACACGCACGCACGTGTACGTGAACACGCACGCACTCACACACGCACGCAGGCACGCACGTGTACGTTCACATGCACGCACGCACGCATGCACGCATGTGTACGTGCATATGCAGGTACGCACGCGCGCACGTGTACATCCAAACGCATGCACGCACGCACGCACGCGCGCATGCACATACGTGTGCCTGCACACGCACGCACGCACGTACGCACGCATGCACGCAGGTGTACGTGCACACGCACGCACGCACGTGTATGTGCATACGCACGCTCGCACGCTCGCACGCACGTGTACGTGCACGTGCACACGCACGCACACACGTGTACCTGCACACACACGCACGCACGCACGCACGCACGTGTACGTGAACACGCACGCACTCACACACGCACGCAGGCACGCACGTGTACGTTCACACGCACGCACGCACGTGTACGTTCACACGCACGCACGCACGCGCACGTGTACGTGCACACGCACGCACGCACGCATGTACGCACGTGTAAGTGCACACGCACGCACGCACGTGTACGTACACACGCACGCGCGCACGTGTACGTGCACACGCACACATGCACGCACGTGTACGCACGCACGCACGCACGCACGTATACGTGCACACGCACACACGCGCGCACGCACGCACGCACGCATGCACGCACGTTTACATACACACACACGCATGCATGCACGCAGGTGTACGTGCACACGCACGCACGCACGTCTACGTGCACATGCATGCACGCACGCACGTGTACCTGTACACACACGCACGTATACGCACCAACGCACTCATACACACACGTGTACCTGCACACGCACGCACGCATGCCCGCACGTTTTCGTGCACACACATTAAATTTGACATGTAAATTGGCAGATGCCGAAATAATTATGCCTATACTGAAGTATAAATACATATATGTTAGAGTTTTGAAAAGTATTTTTAAGCTCTAAAAAAGCATCTTGGTGTCTTAATTTTTTTTAAATTTTTGGGGGAGAACCCCCAAACCCCCCTTTGACGAGGGGGAAACCCCCCTAGAGCGCCCCCGCCACGGCTGCGCCGTGGGCACCTGGCCTTCGGCCAGCTGTTCGTCGACATCTGTTATTGATGCTAAATGGCCTGACCAATGTTTATTTGCTTCCGCCGGCCCTGCGCACGATGGAGATTTTGCAATAATTACACTAAAATGGAGCGACCTGAGGTGAAATTCCTGCAAATTTAAAAAAAAAAAAATTTTGGCTTGGGGGTGGGGGGCTCGGGAGGGGGGGTTCGTTCGACCCCCCCGAACCCCCCCTGGCTACGGGCCTTAATAATATATGTATTATTTTTTATATTGAACATGCAGGCAGTCTATCAGTTGTGTTTCTGCAATAATTGTTACTTTATAATTTTTGAACAGCTCCACTAGATTGCCGACACAAGTAGAATGGGTTGACCTGAGTAATGTGGTTTCTGGTCATTGGTTTCTATGTACAATATTGGTATATATTCGATGTACTTCAAATCTAGACGCCATCAAGTACATCGTGATAATTTGAGGATATGATGAAAAAATTCATATTCGATTTTTTTTCGTTTTTTTTATATTTCGCACGCTTGGCAGAAGCTGCTTGATGGAGTTAGCTTCACATGGCCTTCAATCAAATAGGAGAACAACTCTGAAACTTCGTCTATATTACATGTCCATTTATTTTCCAGAGTTTTACAAGTAAATAATAGTCAATCAGTCAAACAAATTATTAGTTAGTGATTTTTTCATATTTTAACCTACATGTCACTATATATATGATTATAGATAAGATTTCGACTATATAGACAATTAGAAACAGACTGCTATTACGATTAATTACAATGAGAACATAGACCAAAGTATGAATTTACCATGTTTTTTCTTCGTTTTTCATCCCTCTCTGCTGTCTGAGTAATTGCACTAGTAATACACAATATCCTTTTTTTTAATCAAAACTAAGCAAGTGCAATCGACTTATACATCAAACATGAGAAATCTAACATGTTCCATTTACGGAAATTTATAACCTAATAATGCTCTGCAAAAACGCTATCACAGTATTGCACAGCGATGCCAAGCTAATGTCTATATATACACTGTAATAAGATTTTATGAATTGTTCCCAACCCTAACTTTTCCATAAACGCCTATATGGAAGAATCATTCTCATGTTGAATGTATAATTGCTACAATTTATTTGACACTTAAATAAAATGTAGCTCACATAATTCTAATATCCAAACTAATTGATTTTACGTGACCCTGGCTAATAGAATGGTAGTCTTATGGATGCTACCTTTACTTCATTATTTAATATCAATATACAAAATATACCTAATTGAAGACGTTTGTGACTTTCACAACTAAAATTCACATTATATACAATATAGATAGGTACACGTACCTTAACTATCATTCAAAAAATAATCTTTTTCGTCTTGCGACTTACTTACAAGTGTGGGTGAACAATATAATTGTCTAGTCACACACATAAATCAATTGTTGCAAACTTTAAGTTTGGTCTGTAAAAATTTCAGTGTACATATAATCAGGAGTAAGATAATATAGGATCCTATATTATCTTACTCCTGATATAATTACACTTGCCAGTTAATATGATTTTACTGTGTCTGGCACTTACAGTGGTAGACATCACTGTTTTGCACGGCACTTTACAGTCAAAGGTAATGGAAAAAAGGGCATATATTAATCAATGTTGCTGTAAAATTGTAAACAGTTTTGTTGCTCAAAACTGCAATAATGAGACAGAAATCTATCACATGAGATTTCACTAATAAATTAGGCATACAGTTGTACTTGGAGTTTTCAAACACATTCTCTACAGCAATTATCATTTTAGCAGAAAAGGAGATGTTGGATTACGAAGATGCCTAGAAAAGTGGTTATATTTGAAATTTTAGAATGATCATGTGTCACCTAGGATAATCTGACCACCCACAGTGTGAGCTTAGCTGAAACCAATTTTAGTTACCAATGAAATTTTAGAATGTGACAAAACAACAATGTGACAAATATAACACAATATGAACTTCACATGAATTCAGAATACGATCTAAATGGAAATTTACAATGCAACAATACATGATGTAAGAGATGTTCAATGCACTGTGATCTAGACATCAACATCTACTTCACACGATTCGTCTGAACTCTCTGCCATCGAGGACAGGTTTTGTTCCAATAGTTCGGAGAAATCAGGCACAACCTTTGTACCGTCTGGCTTAAACGGGTTGCGGCAACCGCGACAGCGGCAGTCTAAGCAGCACTTCCCGTCTACATAGCATGGGCACCGCTGGCCACAGCAGGTCAACTTTCCTGGGCTCGGGGTTGCTGTGCCACAACGACAACCTTTCTTCATCTTTGGTTTCGGCTTCTTTGGTTTGTCGTCAGTTTGGCTGTTCTCATCAGCCTCCTTGTCTGTCGACGTGCACGAATCGCTGCCAGACATAGAGCTCTCTCCTAGGCCATTAGACGGAACATGTTCTTCGCTCACAATACTTTGAGTGTTTGCGCGTTTTTGGCTCTTCTTCTTTTTTACCTTAACCTCTTCGTTAGTCGGAGAAGTCGGATACTTCCTCTTGATCTTGATCTTCGGAGACTCATAGCTGGTGAGGGTCACACTGTACAGTGACTGACCCGATCGGTGACTATTGCTGTTCGATGTAGCAGAAGACCCGGCTGACATGGAGTTGAATTTCGAGACTTTGTACTGTTGCAGTTTTTGCGCTGGCGGATTTCCAGTCGCAGAGCCAGTACTGCCACGGTTTGAGGCAAAGTTTTTCTTATAGGTTTTCTTTCCAACATTTGTTGTCGGATCAGGAAGGCCAGAAAATAACTTAAAACTTGATTCGGCCATTTCATTTCGTGAGGAGCAGTCGTCTTGAACGTTCATACCTTCACGGATCATGTGTGCAATGTTTGAAATGCCACCATTGTTGGCAGTAACGGACACTGCATTTCGAAAAACGTTTGTACTCGCAACATATTCACACAATTTTTTGTAACAGTGAACAATTATTCGAAGTTGTTTATTTTGCGTATACTTGTTGTAATCTTTGCACCAACTGCATGAAGGTTTCAACCGCATTTTACCCCCAATGCAAGTCTTACAGACATGATGCTGGCATGTTGACTCCGACGATCCGAATGGGTTTATCAATACGTTGCCACAGACGCAGCAAGATAAAGCACTTTTTAGGTAGGGCAGTAAGCGGAACAAATCCTGCCATGTACTCTCATCATCCGAGTCTGCCATCATCGTATATCGGCATGTAGTTACGTATAACGTAGTAGCGTTCATCTTGCTATAGTTAAATGCACACACATTCAGTTATTAAATGTATAATTTGTCATAAATACTTCTTTGCGCAAAAATGTAAACATTCGTGTACGTGCGCTGCTAATGACGTCACCAATATTAGCGTAGCGGCGCCGGAAACTCTCACCGGAACATGTGATGACATCTCCTCGATGAACTTTGACCTTCGCAGCAAAATAATGGCGGGTGAAGTTGAAACTGATTTGGTTATGCAGTCTCACATAAATCTAGACAAGTTACGAGGGTTTGTTAGGATGTATATAGACAAGGTAACAGTGCGGGTTAATAATCATTGTTATACTCTATTCGTTTAATTGTCATATCAGTCATGATGGTCAGATCACAGATGAGGGCAGTCAGGCACTGTCACTCACACTCACAGGCACTTGGACCGGTTCAATAATAAAATGATGGTTAATAAATACCACTTGTCAGTACTAGACCTACCAGTAACAGTACCAGTAATAGTCTTAATGTTTGATTTGACCTAATAACTTCACTTCAACACCGTCAAATACATCGCTGCAACACAGCGCGCACGACATTGTGCATCATCTGCATGCACAAATAGTTGAAATACACAGTGATATAGACTCTATATCACTCTTCTTATCTAATAGTAATACACTCTATGTTTTTCTAATCTATTTCGCCTATTATTCCCGATAATCACCTGTAAATGCCGGTAAAATGCTCATCTGCAACACACAAGTACACCGCACTCAAGCCCTGTGCACAAACAACATGAACTAGAGGGCTGTCTTCGCTGCAAGAGCGAACACTGTATTTGGCAATACATCTACTGTAGTAGCTCCAAGAAACGGTCTTGCTAGGGTTAGAAGACAATTGGTCGCACAGCCTGGTCGGTCTACTACTGTAGCAGTCCTAGAACTTATTAATCTCAACTATCAATCTATAAGTAGTTTATATATTCTGTAGCAAATTCTGCGTGCGAACGCGGATCCGGGCCACTGTTGTTTCTAGGCATGAATGTAACACTTACCTCTCTCTCCCCCTCTCTCTCCTCTCCTCTCCCCCTCTCTCTCTTTCTCTTTCTCTCTCCCTCCCTCTCCCTCTCTTTCCGCTCTTTAACCCCATCATATGTAGCAGCACTACAGCGCTACAGCCCGCGTACAGCCGCTCTGTATAATATGGAGCAATATATTTGCATTTTAAGTAAGGTAAGTTTTAATATGGCACGTGTATGAGAGGCAGGGAGAGCGAGCGGTGGCGGTCAGAGAGGGTGAGAGGGTCTATGTCCCTCGGGGTACTGCCGGAACGTACCCTGGGTACGGTCCGGTATACCGGAACGTACCTTGGTACTATCTAATATGCCGAACCAGACCTCGCCTACTCCACTAACGAGTCTAGGGAGTCGCCTACGCCTACTCCCTAAGCCGAACCCGAACCCTAATCCTAACCCTAACCCTAACCCTAACCCTAATCTTAACCCTAACCATATCAAATAGTGACCAGGGTACGTTCCG